TCCATCCATCCATCCATCCATCCATCCATCCATCCATCCATCCATCCTGAAAGGTCACTACTTTGATCTACCAGATCTCATGACCCCACCATGAAAAGAAGCGCTCCGTTTTTGCGGCCACCAGGACGCCTTGGTGGGTGGAGGATCTCTTCCTTTTGCCCGCTGAGAAGGCGGCGACGGCGACAGAAAAAATGGGCTCACTCCTTCGCTGTGGTAGAACAACACACCGGAAGTTGTGCAATGCCCTTCTTGCTATTCTGGCCTGGAAGAAGGTCGACTGGGTCGACTGCCCATGGCTGCCTCTCCATGGCACTCCCAAAAATGAGATTGAAGTGAGGCAGCCGACTTCGAAAGTCACAGGTTCCATTTGCCACGCCTTTGCCGACCCAACCTGTTTGACCATGTGGCCTGTTTGGTTCACCTCTGTCAATTCTGCAGGCGCACTTGCTGTGGGGTGCTGAGATTGGATTTGATGATCCGGGGTTTGGAGATGAGACTCTGTCATATCATGAAACACTGAGATGAGACTTGCTGTGTGGGATGGGTAGACGCGAATGGGATGATACCTGTACATGCCATGCCACCTTCAAGGCCTGCGTCTGGCATTTCTGATCGGTGCTGAGCAATGCTTTGCGCCTCTCTGCGCCGGCTGTTTCTCTGTTCAACAGATCTTCCAAGGTGGTGCAACCCCCCAAGGTCGTGAAACCCATGAATTCGATTCGCGGAAGCGCAAGCAGTTCCATCCCCTGGGCCCCGGGGTTTGTGCGTGAAAAGTGGACAACAGAAAAGAAGGTGAATGGCCTCCATAGACCCGGGTCGAATGGCCTGGACTGGACCTACATGGGCCATTCCTCGGAACCAGGCTCAGGGTGGTGAAATGGTACACCAAGCACCTGGTCGCCCATCAGTCGAGACATTCCCAAGGCTTTGCCTGGTCTGTTGGGCTGCTTGCTGCGCCTTACAGCGGCAAGGCAGGTTCGCGGTTTGCGCGGAGTTGGGGCTTGGGATTCGTCACCCAGCACTCTTGGCGATGGAGTTTGACAGATTCTAGCAGGGTTTCAAGAACATTCTGACACCAGAAAAAGGGGGAAGCATCGCGTCTACTCAAGTCCCATCGTCAATCGCCAATGTAGCTCCATGTCAGGTTGATGGGTGTCTCCGTGTTCGGTAGGGGCGATGCCGATGCTGCCAGGACGCGGCCTCAAGGACGGGTCACGGGTCACGAGATGGGGGGAGGGGTGCAGGGGTGGTGCAGGGGTGGTGCAGGGGTGCTTGAGTGACCTGGTTTTGCGTATCACGTCATTTTTTAATTTCCCTATGGGTGTAAATCCCCTTCTAAAGATGTATTACTCTCTTTTTGGTTCCTTAATGTCCGAGCTTTTGCTTTTCGATGAGAAAGGACTTTCGCAGTCATGTGGTCGGATGTGAGAACAACGGATTCTATATTCTTTTTCTGCATGCAGAGGTGGGGGTTATTCTGTCAAATTTCTTTTGACTTTTCGAGGAGGCGCTCCACGCGGTGGAGGCCAGCGCTCCCCACAGCGCTCCCAGGACATGGAGATCTCCTTGCAAGAGATCTCCCAGACAGTGGAGGGCCAGCAGGGACCCCCACCGTTCCACCATGTCTTGGAAACCGAAACGGAGGACGCCGATGGAACCCGGATGGATAGGTGGGGTGGGTGGAGGGATGTGGCTTTGGGTGGAGGGATGTGGCTTTGGGTGGAGGGATGTGGATGCCAAGATTGTCGAGGCTGTGAAATGCCAAAATATGCCACAAATGCGAAAATTCGATTCGAGGTACTCGTAGCAGAATCGACTCTGCGGTTTCAGTGTGCACTGCTTGAAACAGTTGGTTCAGCTGAACTTTTGTTCCCCTTTTTTGGCTTCATCCTGATTCCCCAGCTGAAGCAGGTGCTGAGCATGGAGATAGCTTTTTGATGCTATGTGTTCTTGGTTGCAATGAACAAGTGTTGACCATCGGCTTATACCCCTAAGATTGCCCAGGCCTAGCTGCCTAGCCAGCTTGTCCAAATCCAGATTGGCATCAGAATTTTGGAGAGGTGGTTCCCAACTCTCCAATCTGATCCATTTTCTATCCAAAATTCCTTTGATCCATTTGGCATCCTCCATTTGGCATCCCGTAAAACCGTCACACCTTCGCCTCGAAGAGCTGAGGCGCCAGCAGCTCCGGCGTGGCCAGGCTCTGAAGGAGACCCACATGGAAGACATCAATCCCAGTTTTGACTGGTTTGTTTACCTGTGTGTAGGAGGCTCCCAGACCACATGGAAGACATCAACCACATGGTGTTGATGATAGAAGACATGGTGGTTCGCTGTGTGCGCTTGCTCTTGGTGCCACAGGAGCGTTTGGAAGAGAATAGCCGTCGCTTCGTATGCCTGGCCCCAAGCACTGGCAAGCAGTCGGCGTGGGAGGTAGGCATGAATCCCAGAAAACATGTATCCAAGAGTGAGGCCAATCAGTGTGAATGGCGGCCAAGGCCGCAGCCTCCAGCAAGCAGAACGGTGCGACGGGAGGGTGGCCGCGTGTGTCGGGCACGTCACTGATGCCAAGCCCTTGTATATTTGTCCCTTGAACTTGAGCATCCATGCACTACTTGTACCAAAGAGCCAGTTCCAAAGAGCGGTTTCACATGAACAAAAGCCAGTGGCCTTGGTAGCATGTTCTTCCCGTCGGCCCCCAACCGTGTCTCACAGTTCGACTCTGCAAACGCGACAAAAGTATCCACATCGAAAGAAAGAGCACGAACCCAACGGATGTTCCAAGCAAACCAAGTGCAAACGGAGAATCCACGTCCTTTCCGGCACGAGTCGCTCCCGGGGGCGACGAACGCCCAGTGGGTGCAGGTGGCTCCTCAATGCCGTGTGGCAGGCTTGGTCGCGCCAGAGCGAGGCGGGAGCGCCGGGACGTGGCGCGCTCGTGGCGTTTTGGGAAACCCAAGAGCCTCAAAGTATCTCAGAGTCGTTTTTTTTCCGTTGTGGTTCCGGCGCTAGAACTTTCTGAGCATTTTTTCTGGTCACGCGGGCTGGAGAGTATCTTAGAGCACGATCTTGAAGGGAGGGCTGGTTGACGAAGAACCGTTTCAATGAAGTTGAATTCATGGGTCGACCAGGGCGTTCGACCGCCGGCGTCGTTCGCTAGAGATAGGATCAACATGGATCAACCGGGACCCTGCTGGTATACCATGGCAAAAACGCGGTTTTGATATGTTTTGATGGGTTTTGATATGGTTTGATGGGTTGAATGGAGGCCTGCCAGACTTGACTTGCCGCCTCCCCAGCTTTGTTGGTGTGCTCTTCTTGAAGGCTCGGAAACTGAAAATGGGGCAACCCCGTATTTGGTGGAACAACGAAACCGCATGCTCCGAAACCGATATGGCTGTCCAAGTGGTGCCACCTTGCGCCACCTTGTGGAGCCTTGCGGGAAACCATGGTATAGTGTGCAGCTGTGTGCTGTGTATGCACTTGAATTGGACACCTCTGAGTTGCCCGTTGCCCCGTTTCATTGGTCGTTGACTGTAGATCGGCTACCTCTAAGGGGCATCTAAAGTGTTATCAACAGTACCAGGATTCCTTATGCATCTGTCCCAAAATGCTCTTGCAACGCTCTTGCACATTATCAAACAAACACATATTGCTCACTTTCAAAACGGACATCAAGTCTAACAGTCTAACATCAACTGTGCATGATGGACCCATATTGACCCTAAGACCTCTGTGAGTCATTCAAGTATATCTCCTGCTCTACCCTCTGCTTCATTCAGGCCACCCGCCGTGCACGCCAGCGGCTCATCCGTTGGCTGCCCGAGCGGCTCAAGCAGCAGAACGCCCTGCGCGGTGCCCTCGAGGCCGGTTGAAAAACCGGCGGTGCCCGGCGAGGGACCGGTCGTGTGCCGGTATGTTCCATGGATGGCACCTGTAAGGATCAAAAAGGATGGCACCTGTCTGTGGCACCTGAGGATCAAACTGAAGATGGTGGTGTGCACAGTGTGTGCTCGGTGAAAGCTCACAGTTGTGCCTGAACAGCTCACAGTTGAGTTAGATATCCGATGGGTGACACTGACGACCTCCTGATCGGCGTCTTCTTTTTTGTGGTCAGGAAACGTAGGAAAGACCTGTTGGAGGGTCCATGGAAAGGTATGAAACACAGATGAACAGCAACAACCGGTGACTTGGTCTGACAGGGTTCATCGGTGGCAGTTTGGAGATGGAGGTTCATAGTTCGCAGACCTAGAGGCGGCGGGCGGCGAAGGGTCTCTCAACAGACCCAACAATTGGAGTTTGTTTTTTGGTGGTTTTTGAATCCCAGGCAAAACATTAGAACATACGAAACCCACTTCTGGCCATGGTAAAAAATGTGCGCAGAAACCCACAAAGAGCCCCGGGGCAGAGAGGCCTGGCTCTCACTGGCGCAAGAGGGACGCCGAAAGCAGCAAGCCCTGCGACGAGGCCATGGGTTCCTCTGTGTCGAAGGTCTTTGGAGGTGTCAAAGGGGTGGGTGACAGGCTGGTGGGTGACAGGCTTCCTTCTGAGGAGAGAGGTGGAGTCGTCGGGTTTGTATGTTTCAGCGGGTGTTCGGACAAACTCTGAGGAAAAAAGACGTGTGTTTGTTTGGAGAGGTGGTCCTGCCTACACTGGCAAAACAGACGTGCATCACGCTATCTAAAAAAAGGGCATGCTTCCTGGTAGCACGGAGCAGTGGACATGCTGCGCAGCCTCATACTTCATTTTCCAGGACTCATAAACACTCATTTTACATGAATGATGCCCTAAGGTCATGTTAGGAATTGTCAGGGCAGTTGGGATGAATATGACATTTATAATATATATATATCTATCTACTGTAGCTTCATTCATGAGTTGGCCAGACATGGCCAGACTCCATCTGCATCCATCTGCCGCCGCTGAACGATGGACACTTCACCCACGCCGACTGGGGTTTTTTGCGGGGGTCGATCGCCGGCGGGCGGATCGACCGAGGCCAAAGAGCCATCGTCCGGTGGCAAGAGGACCTCAGGCGGTTTGTTCGTTTTGGACCGGGCTGGGAAGTGGGGTTTCTGGTGGGGGAGAATTGGGAACAGGGTGAGTTTGGCTGGAACTGGAATGCGGTAGGGGGGACACTTGGAGAGTTTTGTTTCAAGTTTACGCTGGATGTTGTCACCACAGTAATCCACAGTGTTTGTTGCTTCCGCAAGACCGAAGTCTCTAATGTATTGAAGCCAGGTTGTTTTGCGGAAGCCCTTGCTTCCGCGAAACCAATCCACACTCGACAGATGCATGCTTGGGGTTTTGCTGCGTGGGGATAGCTGACCTCTGGGTATTCACCCAGGCACCATCAGGCACACATCATCTCAGAAATCAGTGGTTTGGACCCTCTACAGTATATCCTACAGTGGTTTCTGCTATGTTTTTGCTCCGAAAAACCGAACTCTGCATCCATCACATCAGGGTGCGCGCGTTCGGTTCGTTCGCTTCGACGAACGAACGGTGTCGTGCTGAAACGAACCGGTGCGGAAGACGGACAGGGAAACCGAACGCGTGCAGGTCATGGAGTCTGAGCAGCTGGAGGCAGACGCTGCGGGAACAGAAGGCCGCTTGTTCCCGCATCGGTCGGGTTTTGCGCGTTGGTGATTGTTCTTTTCCGATACTTTTCCTTGGGTGAATCTGGGATGGATTGTTCACATGTGTTTTTTTTTTGGCGTTCCGTAAATATAAGCAAATCCCAGATGGAGAATTCTGTATTCGTACAGGATGTTGGGATCCGTTCGGATTTTTTTGAGCAGGAAACATATCACCAGGTCAGCAGGCTGTAGCATTTTTCCAGGGGAAGGACATGGAAAGGCTGAGTTTTTCAAGCCACAGCCCAGTTGAGAAGGTTGGGATGCCTGTGGTGCTGATATAAAACTGATGCTTCATCAATGTCTACTGTGGTACTGATGTTCCGTCCAACGTCACCCCTCTGACCGTACCACCACACAAACTTGAAGAGCACGTCGTACAGTCTTCCTTGTGTTTCTTGTACCGTAGCCATCCAAGACCCTTAAAAGACATTCAAAAGGTTGATCTGGCTCCAGACTGGAGGTTCCCGAACGAAAACGAAACGAGCAAGCAGGAGACGAATTGCAAACGCGGAGCCTGTCTATGTTTCTCATAGTGTGGGAATGTTATCATGCATGGAAAAGGGATGAACATGGATTTAACAAAAACGTGCTGTGAGAATTGCATCCTTTTTCAATGCCGCGTCAAGATACGTAGGTGGGACACGGAAGCCTTAGTCTACAAGGGGCTGTTTTCATCTCCCCAGTCAAGGTGCGGTTTCATGATTCTTACAAATGTCATTTCATGTTCAGGAACGTCTAAAACATCCCATTGCCACAGCAGAGAAGAAAGTGGCATGGGGCTTCTTGTCTTTGTCCGCAAGTAACATGGATCTTTTAGGTTTGCAGTGCTTGTTACAACGCATCACGTGGCACCACGCATGCAAAGGCATGCCTTCTCGTAACACCAAATCACCTGCACGTTTTCCTCGGATTGCGTTCTGATAGCCGACCTAATCTCCCTAGTGGCTGGAGAGGGGGACCCTAGCCTATCTAAATACACACCTTGGTGGAACCTCATGTTACGTAGACTGAACCTACATCACGAAGATTTGTTTGCGTAGTCATTCCCTCATTCTACATCACCGAGCAGATCATGTGACAACGAACGTCACCACTTTGGCGTCCGTTTCGGGTCTGGTCGCCTGGGTCTCGCGTCCATCTACCCCTCGTGAGACGACGTCAGGAGGTGGCGCTGCGACGACGCCAGAGCGAACGCAGGACGACGCGGCCGGGGGGGACGATGTCCCACGGCGGTGGTGCACCCCGATGCAGGCTGCATATGTGCTTGATCAAAGTTGACACTAGAGATGGTGTGCATGGGTGTGTAAAATTTCAGATGAATTAGCTGAATTCAGTCAGAAGCTTTGACTAGTGCACTCGGGCAGACTGGCTCCAAGGAAGGATTCAGATGATTTACTGTAGAGTTCAAAAGCCATCATCCAGAATCATCCAGCATGGAAACTGGATGAAACCGGTCTGTGACCAGTGGGGTCTGGGGTTCGACCATGCGGAACCAGATCTTCAGGACACCATTCTGATTCAAGTGGCCTTGTCTACACTCCAGTGGCGACAGCAGCCCACGGAGGGTGGAAGTGGCGCCCAACGCCCACGCTGGTTGGATGGTTGATCCATGCCCATGTTTATTGAACAATCAGATGGAGTGCTCCCCTGTGGGCATCTAGGAAAACGCGAGTGACCAGTGAGTTCCCATCCTCTCCCAGCATCCCACTCACCCATCCGTCCCACTCCGTCCCACTCTCGGCTTTGGATGATTCCGTGGGGCATGACCCACCTGATTCATCCTGATTCATCTTGATTCATTACCCACCTGATTTTCAATATCTGTCTCTTGCTGAAAACTGACTCTCCATCCAATGGCGACCTTCGGAAGAAAGGCGGACGTGGGCCGAGCGACGCTGTGGCGAGCCCTTTGGGCCGCACCGGGGTGGGCGGCAGGACCGGCATGGCCCTTGTGACCTGCCAGAGTTTCTCAGGGGTTGACGATGGCCTCCACCCTACTAGCGATGGCCTCCATGAAAACCAACTCATACAAGTCGTAGATTCATCAACCTCAAGTCAAAGCCTGAGTCCCACGCCCGAGCTGACGTCATTCCTGATGTCTCATTGTGTTGGCTAGTAACAAGAAGCTACTAGGTTGGAGGCCATCGCTATTAGTAGGTTGGAGGCCATTACTACTATAGCAACAAGAAGCTAAACGGGTATTTGTTGAGGGGTCGTGATGGGTTGTGTCCGTCACCAGTGGAGTGCACAACTGAATATGAGATTCGTTCACGTAGCACAACAGGATGAACGTGTGGAGCTCTGAACCTTGTGTGACTTCCAAACCGACCGACCCCCAACACTCTGGATGTGTTATCCAAACCTACACTCCATCCAACCTTGTCCCCTATCCCGTACACTCTGTAATGAGACATACCACAACATGACCTTGCGGACTCCCATGCGACACGTGTCAATTCCAGCCCCGGTCTGTCCAAATGGTCGGACTGGGGTGCCTGTTTGCCTGTCCTTCTGCCAACATCCAATAAAGTCATAGACCTGGTAATGAGAAGGAGACAAGAGCAAAACTCATCTTCACAGCTTCACAGCCACCATACCAGCTTACCTGCAGGCCGCATCCACCTTTCCTTGCAACCGATTTTGGGGTTGATACGCTGCACCGGACCGCAAAACCACCCACCGGACCGCATGTGCTTCCGCTTCCGCGGTACACCACCCACCGGACCGCGTTCGGTCAAGCAACCGCCCAGCCTCATCCCATTCATAGATAGCCTTTTACACTATTGGTTGATTATTTGATTATGTTGATTAATAGAGTGGATACCTCTAAGTGAAAAACCAATATGACCACATCGACCCGTCTATTCCCAGTTGGTCGATGTTGGTTGGACATCACCCCTTGGGTGGAATCCGAGGTGCTCGTTGCAGCTGCTGAGATGGACTTGGGACGCCTGGAAGCTTCACCTTCGCCACGCCCAAGAGCGCCCGGAACGCCCGGTCTCGTTCGCCGGTGTGGAGCTGGTGAGGAGGGACGAATCGCCGAAGGACTCCGAGAATCTCCTGCCCGGAATTCGTCCATAGATGGCTCAAATGACCTAAGTAATGACCTAAATTAGAACGGTGGTGGAAGGAACATGATGACAGACAATGGTTGGGAAGCCCCTTGTGATCGATTCTCAGGACTTGAACCTGAACTTCACAAAAGAGGTATCTCCACCTTGCTGACCCAAATAGACCTGTTGGAGACCAGGCTTTAAAGTCCAGGCTTTCTTCTGTTGGAGATGTGTCGGGACCCGGGTCACATGTATCCTTCGTTCGGCACTTGCTCATGTATCCTCCACGCTTCCGTCCTTCGACCCTACACGATGGGTGTCTGAACCGTTGACTTCGACCTACCGGGCGCCGCGTCCAGGTGCAAGGCGGGTCTTCTCTCACGTAAGCCTGGGAGACGAGCGACAACAGTGGCACTTGGAGCTTCAGATGTGCGGAGACCTGGGGTCGCTTTCGGGTGGAAGCAAAGAACTGAGCTTAGTAGCTGTAGCATACTGTTAGCTTACTGTGCTACTAGTAGCGATGCACTTATTACTGGTTACTATGTTTAGCTTCTTGCTACTAAAGAATGGACAGTTTCGTTAGTTTCGTTACAATAAATCCTTTTGAAAAGGCGGAGACGTCTACAAGACCTGGTTGCACTGCACTTTGCGACTAGCTAGTTCAACTGCTGTTTGTAGTGAACCCTGATGTCCATTTGTTGTGTCAATGACAAGCATAATGACTGCTGGAAGAAAGGTTGACCAAATGTACTTGCCAGTGCTTGTTCGGACATGTTGGGACAACTTTTGGCCCGCTGGATGTTTGTTTACTATCCCTTTGTAGCAGCTTTGTGTAAGCCGACAAAAAAGACACGATTTGATTCTCAGAGTCTAGGATTGGTGGGATACACAAATTAAAGATGTTTGAAAGAAGAGAATATGGGGATAAACTTCCACATTTCATTGGATGCACTCCACTTGTCCGAAGCCAAACCCCTCCGGTGTGTAGAAGCAGCACCCATGAATTCTGAATACTTGCAACATCTTGTAATTCAAAAACAGGGGACATCCACAGGTTTTTGGTCGATTTCTTGCTGTTACGCATGGGTTTTGGGGTGCGCGCATGAATTTTTAGCCTCATGCAGCATGCATACCTAGAGAACCTCCACAAACTCCTTTGGCGATATTTCACATTTCACGCCTGCTTTGTCTTGGGAAAACACTGTGTCTTTGACTGATCGGTGCTCCAACTTGGGCCTAGGGGCTCTCAGGGTACTCGTTACTTCTCACAGATGTTCTTCATCTCCTTCTGCAGCCTTGCCGGGCTCCCGGCGGCCGTGGTCGGCGTATGTGCGCGGACTCGGGCCATGGGGGTAGCTGGCGAGGTGGGCGGGTCCGGGTGGGGCTCTGGGTTCGGGCACCATCAGAGTATCCATCCTCAGTCCAGCTCTGACAGTGATAGGTTATGACTACCAGGCGTGCAGGGACGGATGTAGTACACGGATGTAGTACTACAGTGGTTGCGAGTCTACCCCCCAAAACCATCGAAAGACAAAGGGCTTCGTGTTGCTTGGTCGGGTGTAAACGGGTGGGGGACCATCTTTCACTGCCTGATCGGTGGTTTTTAGTGGCAGGTTGGAGGGTTCAAATACAATACTTGGATTTTTCCAAGGCAGCCATATATGATATATATGAAGAGTTTCAAAACCCTTGGCCTGGGATGATACATCCTGAATAAAGATGTATGTGTTCACAGTTCATAACAATACTTTGAGGATCTTTGAGGGGAGGTCAAAACACCAGCCAGGAAAGACTTGTTGATCCTTTTCCATCTCTCAAAGCAGGGAGGGACCCGCTGGGACCCCGAGAAGTCTTCAGAGAAGCGGTTTTCCGAATCGTGCAAGTGCTCGCACGGAGCTTACTTCGCTCCGTGCTCGTCTTGGGACACAAATCATGATCCTCAAATCGCTTGGACGGTGGTGAATCCCTTTATTTCAGCACAAACAAATTCAAAAGCTCATGAGGTCAATTAGATGACCGCAATCCAGACTGAACATCCTGGGCGAGTCCACGGTGGGGGCACCTGAGAGATCCAATTATCCCTGATATGTCGGGTCGAAGGGTCCCTATTTCCATCCATTCAGTTGCATCCCTTCCGGACCTGACGATCGATTTCAAGAGTTCTGGAACATATGCTGCAGAATCTTTCAACAACTCTGCGACCAGAAATCCAACGGACCTCCCAACGACCGGACCGCGCAGAGCGCGCGCGAAAACAGCGACCCGCTTCCCGTCGTCGCGTGGTCCTCCCGGTTTGCAGCGTCGGAATCGGCCGAACGGCTCCGAACGGGCACACCGAACGGCGCCAGACCTCCGTCTGATGAAGACGTTGCTCCTGGCCTGGTGCTTCTGTTCCGTCGCACACGCCAGGCGCGGGGGGGGGGGGGGGGGTCCCCGGGTGGGAAGGGGGCGGAGGAACAGCGTTGTCCCACCCGGTGGGTCAGACGTCCTGGTCGCGGTGAAGTCCGAGCGTCGCGGGTTTTCCCGAGGTTCGTTGGGATGTTGTCCGGATGTTGGGATGCTTTCCCGATGAATTCCTTTCGAGAAGGAATATTTTTCAATTATTGTTCATTGTTTGTCCTTTTTGCTGGTTCCTTAAGACTAAGATCTTTCTTTGCAAATCCAAGTATAGATGGAATTCACAGTGGTCTTATGACTTATGGGTTTGGTTTGGTGGGCAGGTGGCTCCTGGATTGAAGTGTGGAAAAGCCACAACATTCTACACATTTGTTCCGAGAACATCTGCGGTCCTCGTGCGGAGTCTGACCCTTTGTTGTAAGGAAGATATCCGCTCCCTTCGTGAACTTAATTGGCCAACTGTAGTACGGATGCGGCAGAGCTCACATTCACAGGCCATGTCGCATGCCTGGACCGGGGGATTGCTAAAGGTTTCGCTGATGAATTGACCAACCTTTTGCAGGGGATGAACATCCAGTGACAAGCTATGTGGGATCTTCAATGATGTTGACAAAGAATACCGAAATTTAGCCACAGCCAGTAAGTTTGCTTTTCCCTTCTTTGGGGGGTTCATTCTCCTGCTCCTTTGATTGATTAAGGGTCTCTCTTTTGCACATAGGACCCTAAGGGTCAAGTAAATGCCGGCCAAGAGTGCGAATGCACACATTTTGCCTTCAGGGCTACGCAGTCAGCCGGGGAGCTCATTTGATTGATGCAGAAAAGACACTCCCCCGAAAGCCCAACTAAGCACGACTGTTCTTGGAGTCTCTAGTCTCATCTCGATGAGAGAGAAAGGGAGGGAGAGTAGTGCTATTTTGATGTCTTCTTCCCAGCTCTTCACAAGTTTCGGAGCATTTATCTGAGGCACGTTCTGACACACATGTTTCAGATGACTATTTGTTGGGGTCTTTGCAGACAAGCCTTCGCTATCGGCAGGAATCCTGAGTGGGGGATTGTGATACAATCCGATGTTTACGCTGATGCGGGTATGGACACCATAGTGGACTCACCAGGACTGGAAATCATTGGAAATCCATCCAAAGAGCATTTCCCTTGTCCGTATATTATGTTCCTTTCAAATAGAGTCGCTTTGGGCAAGCCTTTATGTTTTAATTACCCACAATGACAAACATGCTCAATCACCAGGCCACTGTGGTATATCTTGGAGAAAAACACAATTGGATAAATATGTAAACAAGAGCTGCAAATGGTCGAGAAGTTGATCGTGTGTTAAATGCTTCACATCTTCCAAGGCCAACTGTTGAAATATATATTTGCTCCTTCCTAGACACCTCTAGTCGCTCTACAGGATGGGTGAATAGACAAGCAGTGAAGTTGACATGTGCATTTTTACTCAGAAGCACGAAGAGATCTGCCGTAGTGCCGTAGTGCTCCACTCACTTGTTGGACCTAGGCTTCTTGTTACTAGTAGCACTTGCTCCTATAGTAGTAGGGCCAGGAGCCCGTAGTAGCGTCCTTGCTCCTAGTAGCGATGCCAAGAGCCCCTAGTAGCGATGCCGTTGCTCTGGACCTAGAAACCATCCCTTGGAACCTCAGTAGGTGCATTTGTGCTATGTTTGCTCGGTGTCGCTCGCGCGTCAACTCCAAGGCCCATCGAAGCACAGGTTTGGCCACAGGCGCCCTGGCCGTCGGGCGGTGGGAAGGTTTCCAGCTACAACAGCGAACACCAAGCACTTTGCGAACACAGGTTACACTCAACATGGAACTAAGATGGAAGTGGAAAATTGCCTTTTGGAAGAGCATACTCCTCTACAAGCAAGGCGGTTGGGGTACTTCCATGATCGTTCTAGGAGAGCTTTTTCTCCCTTCCACAGAGGTTGTTTTTCACGTCCACAGAGGCTGTGTCACTTCTGATCAACAAACCTTGTGACTGGCGACAGTACGATGGGTAGGAACAGAGAGTATAACGTGATCCCCAAATGGATAGAAACCATGTCCGATGCATTTTTAGTAGGGGAATCTACTTATTTTCTATCTATTTAGGTTCTTCTTTAATCTACAATGACCTCTCCACCGGAGGGTAGGAGGGATGACTGACTCTTCACCTTCGCCTGCCTCAAGGGGACGATGACGAGTTGGATGTGTCCGGCCTCCCGAACGGCAGAGGGACGGACCGCTACGAGCGGAACGTTCGGCTCAGCGAAGCGAAGGAAGGGGCTTTCCCCCTTTGAGTTGTCAAACAGAATCCACATGGAGACTGCAAAGTACTTCAGCTCAAGAGGGACCAGCAGTTTTTGTTGGGAGATGCACCTTTCGCCCTTGGGCCCTTTGGGAACGCAAGAAAGATCTGCCCTGGAAAAGCATGTCAGAGGGCTCTAAGTACCTCCCCTAGGGGCTGAACATCATCGAGCATCACAACTTGGAACTAGGCCACTCTAGCCTCTTGCAACCATCTACATCATCCACATCAGTTAGGTCCTCGAATCAGGGTAAGATCTTCAAGATCTTCAGATCAGATGGATTACAGCATGGAACATCTCATGACTCGTGACTATTAATGACTTATGAATACTTATGATCATCATGACTCATATCATACCCCGAAGATACCCCACTCGCGGTTCCGAGGTCCACGGCCCTGAGCGATAGCGACCTGGCCGACCTGGCTGGAGCGGCTCCACAGGTGCACGGGAGCGGCTCCGGTGGTAGTATGGCGCCTTAAAACGAGAGAGCGTAGCTCTAGAGGTATCATTTCTGGTAGGAAAGACACACAGGAAAGACATAGCTCTAGCGACTACGTGCTACTAATTATTACTAATTACATAGCTCAAGGTGGCATGCCCACCTCTCTTGTTGCCTGCTGGGTTTGACATGAGGTGTTCTGGACTGTTTTGAGTTTCTACAAAGTATATAGTATATTATAACTATTGACAATCATTTGATGAATGAATGTTAGGTGATCAATAGTCAGATTCAACTGAACTGTTCCCAGTGGTGAAATGTCGGGGTCTTCCCAGGCTTGTGATGGATCTCCATCTCGACACGAACAAAGTCGGATTCAGAAACTGCACTGTATTCAGAAACTGGTCTTCAGAAACTATTTCGTTGTATTCAGAAACTATTTCATCGTATTCAGAAACTATTTCGTCGTATTCAGAAACTATTTTCGTCGTATTCAGAAACTATTTTCGTCGTATTCAGAAACTCTTTTCGTCGTATTCAGAAACTACTGTCCCTCATGCTCAGAAACTTTTATTCCCAAACTAGGGGGCGATGTGAACAACCACCTGCGTGGTCAGTTGATGCGTTCTCTTGTATTCAGGGTGGGGTGGGGGGGGTGGGGCTGGGGCAGTAAGCTTCCGTAGGTGGTTGTGTGGACCAATGCTTTCGTGGGTTAGGGTGGGGTGGGGGGGGGAGGTGGGGGGGTGTGGGGCTGGGGCAGTAAGCTTCCGTGCATTGTTGAGGCCGGTGGCATTGTCGAGTTTCCGAATCCAAGCGGCCAGTTTCCAAATACAACCGTGTAGTTTCCGAATACCAGTTTCCGAATACAACCGTCGAGTTTCCGAATACAACCATTCCAGTTTCCGAATACAACCGCCGAGTTTCCGAATACAACTGTCGAGTTTCCGAATACAACCGTGACCATCTCGACACAGCTCTGTGGGCATGTCCGCAATCATAGCCATGTGATGCTGTGTGATGCCACGGTGCTCCGCAACAAAAGAACGTGCCATAAACTCGCACCGGTCACCACTGTTTGGTACAAGAACATCCAAAAATACCGCTTCTTAGGGTGTGTCGCGAAGGTGGCTTGATTCCTCTCGCCCCAACGAAACCCGGGACCTGTGCCCGGCACGTCCTGGAGCGCTCCAGGCAACCGGGCCGGGGTCTCTCAGCGGTGCGGGCGTTCGTTTTCAGGGCCAAGAAGCATCGACTGTTCATCGGCTGGGTCGATCTGGGGGACCGTTGATCATCTAGACAATCCTCAGATGAACTGGGATGATGTTTGAGGCCATCTCCAGACAGTTGGTGCTCAAGGACGTCTAACTTATGGGGCGCAAGAATGTCCAAGAGCCATCCTCATGCTCTAAATACCCACAAGGATTCCTGCTGATCAAGAAGAAGTAGGGCACGTTTCACATTGTTCAGCATTTCCCACTTCCAAATTGATCATGCCAAAGCCCTTGCATCTACATCTACATATTGTGCAATGTGGGATGAACAAAAACACCTACACCACACCCGGCCGACCCGCGACGTCCCAGACCTCCGTTCATCCCGCCGCCGGGCCTTGCCGACCTCCGCCAAGGCCGAAGGATGACTTCGACCAGGTGCCAGAGATGCCTCGCTTGCAAGCCCCCAAGGCGACGCCCATTGGATTCTTTAGAAACATAGGGTGAAGTTTGATAATCGGCCGCGGTCTTTCGGCCCACAGCTCTCGCGCCTGTGGTGGATGGCCTTGTGCAATAAGTGCCATCAGGCACCGTCGATTGGGTCGGATTCGTGGTGCGTGGGTTGCGCTGCACTCGAGATAGTGCAGGAGGAGTTGAAAGGGCGCTGGGGGTCAAGCGACCTTCGAAGAGCGGCCAACGATTGGTTGGTGGATCTTGGGCGCCAGATAAAGGTCTTGAGGGCACTATCTCTTCGGCTGCAACCCGTTGTTCCTCCTGGACTTGAAGCTGGTCGGAAAGGAGGTGCCGGCTGCGAGGGTGCTACACCCAAGGCGCTGGCAGTACCTGCGAGGCAGGAGGCTGAGGAGGAGAAGGTCGCGGAACCCGAGCCTGAGGGATCCTACTCCTACACTTACACCGATTGTGAGGAGGAAGAGGAGCTGGCTGAGGAGAGAGAACCTTTAAGGAGGCCTCCTGCAAAGGAGCCACCGGTACCACCCCCGGCACCGCCACCAGTGGTCAAACAAGAAGAGGAGGAGGAGAAGGCACCTGAGAGGAGAAAGAAGAGCCGAGAGGAAAAGAAGCACAAGGCCCGGAGTTCGCATCGGAAGGGTCACGAGAGGAGAAAAGGTGAGAGAGAGAGGCATCGAGGACGTCGAGGCGGCAGGAAACACCAGCAGGTTCGCCGACGCAGCTCAGATCCCAACGTGAGATTTCATAGGAAGAAGCCGTTGCACGAGTTGAAACGTTTGAGAGAGGAGGACTTTCCAGGCCTCCCCACTCCGCCACCATGTCCGCGTTGAAGGGCATCTTCAACAACTGGCAGGAAGGTGAGGAGTTTGCTATTGAGGATACAGAGAGATGGTCCTTGTTGAACATTGGGTATGGAGACTTCGTCGAACTGTCGCTTGCATGGACCGATTGGTCACCCTCCTCGGAAGCCACCGTTGGTTTTCTCGTAACTGGCCGTACGGTCACTGCGGACGGCGGTATGGCGCTGAGGGCTCGGTTTGTAGGGTCGACCGACCATACATTGTCGAAGAGTTTGTCGAGTCAGTTCAACAGGAGAGAAGGGTTCGTGCATCTTTGCATAAGTCGCCCTTGCACCGAAGCCGAAGAAAGCTTTCTGCATACCACCAAGGTGAAGGTTTACAGCAGAGAGGGCTTCAATCCACCGTATTTCACCAGTTCACACAAGAGACAAGTTGCGAAGTGGCTGGGAGAGATCGAGGAGGTGGAAGCTGTTCACGAAGATGGGGCCCGAGAGACCGACGAGGGCAGAGCAGACAGGACCATACTCCCGGATTTTGGTGCAAGGGCTGGAGGTGCAAGAGAAGAGGACGTGGTGAGGCAAGAGGATCTTGGAGGTCGAGGTTCGTTGATTGCTGCCCCAAAAAGCCGCGGCAAGCGCCCTGGCGCGCTGCGGTCTGGGTCTGCAGCTCCTGGTCGAGCGCGGGCCCGTGGCAAGGGGATAGCAGGCATCGGTGGCGCTGGGGGGGATTCACTTCCCGCCGAGGCGCCTGGAAGTCGCACGGAGGTGAGGTCCGAGGAACGACATCGAGGAGTTCGAGAGGAGGTGGACGACCTGCAGCTGGGGTCAGAAAAGGAAAGGGAGGAGATGTCCACCGCCGAGCTAAAGAAAAAGTTGGAGACTGTGAGATTGAAGTTGGGCGGAGCTCCAAGGCCTTCAATTGCCGAACTGAAGAGATTGCCCGCGGAGGACGATGGCGAGGATCTACAGCTGGAAGGAGAGCTCAGTTCAGGCTTTGCGGAGGCTGCGAAGGGCTTGACGAGTGGGACCAGTCTGAAGAGGAGGATTGCCCTAGAGGATACAAGAGGCACTTCTACGAGAGATGTCTCGGAACAACTAGTTCGTCAAGCGCAGCATTTGGCAGCAGGGAAGAACAAGAAGACAGACGAGGAGAAGGCCAGCAGTCATGCAAAAGGAGGAGAGAGAGAGGAGCTGTTGGCATTGTTGAATCAGGTGGCGAAGAGGAGCAAAAGAGAGAGAAAGGACGAAAGGGAGCCACCCAGGAAATCAGGAGAGTCAGGACATTCCAAGAAGAAGAAGAAGAAAAGAAAGAAGAAGGATGGAAAGAAAAACCGAAAGCGGAAGCTTGTGAACGGGGTGTTGATGAGCACAAGCGCCAGCAGCTCAAGCTCCGAGGAAAGCTCCGCAACCTCCCGATCCCTGACAGAAGAACAATTCGAAGCGCCGCTTCGCAAAAGATCCAAAGCGGCACCTGGCTCGGTGCTGAAGTTGCTAGTCCAGAAAGCACAGGACGCATTGGACCAGAGCGCTTTGGTAGAGATGACACCTGGAGCTGCGACACCGATCACCGATGGAGTGAAGTTGACGACCTACTACCAGCTTCACATCAAGCCCCATTATTCTCAGCACAAAGGACCTATGAGAGACATCGCCCTGATGGCAAGGGTGCTGGACACGATCCGAGCAGGGGCCATCGGACGTGGTTGCGACATGTTGGCGGGGCACTTCCTCGCAGCCCATCAAGCGCTGATGGATCAATCGTGGGTACAGGCCAAATATCTCGAGGTCATAGAGCCCGAGGAACAGAATGCCACCTCAGCAGCGATCTTGCTCGAGGCAAGAAAGCATGCCAAGACATCGCTCAAAGCAGAGACCTTCGAAGCCTGGCTCCCAGGAAAAGGTTGGCAGCGACCTTGGCAGGCAAGTGGAAAAGGAAGTTGGCAAGCAGACAAAGGAAAAGGGAAGCAGAAGAAAGGAGGAAAAGGAAAGGAGAGAGGATCTTGGCAAGAGAGAGACGGAAAAGGGAAGAACAAATGGAAAGAAAGTCACGACAAGGGCGAGAAGGAGAAGGAGTAGAGAGGATGCTTGGAGGAGAAGGCTTGACAGTAAATCCCTCTGAAGAGTTGGAGGGTCTGGCGCCACAGTTTGAAGAGAGGATGACAGTCGATGTCGGAAAGGCAGGTTCGGGAGGAGATTTTATAGGTCCGATCCCCTCTGGAAGTTTCCTTTCCGTTGAGGGTGTGAATTCAGAGGTTTTTGAAGATGGCCAGAGCATTTGCTTGGCAGCAGGTCGCAGCATTGCAGATTTGAAGAGTGCAGGTACAGTGTTGGCCTGGCTGCTGGTTCAAGCAACTATGAGAAGAGATGAGGGCCCGTGGCGATGGGTCTCAAGAGTGGCTTTTGAAGCGTTGACGGCCGCAACTGGTTCTGGGGGGCCTTTGAAGGCTGCCTCGTTTCCAATGCGAAGAGGGTTGACAGAAGGCGTTTTTGAGGCCTTGAAGAGAGTTGGACTTAGAGAGGTGAGTTCAGCAGATTTCTCCAACCGCTGGGCAGAGGAGGCCTGGCTATATCTTTGCTTGCAGTCGACCAGCAGCCTGGCAGGGAGCAAGATCCCGCTGGCAGCCGGTTCTTGGACGAAGCTTGAGGAGCGAGGAGCAGCGTCGGCCAAAAGGGCCATAAAACGACTGCTGACGTGTCGTTGCGGACCGCTCCAGGACTTTGAAAAAGTGGCGAGTGAACTCAGGGCAGCCAAAGTAGATTACAACGGGGAGGAAACAGGTGTGTGTGAACCACTCACCCTCAGGCAGGTCATGCCTGCCCTTCCCCCTTTGGGTCATGGGGGGTCGATCGCGTTAGTCGATCTTGTGGGCCCGGCCACGAGAGAGATTTTGGAAAACCCGGAGAAGTTGCTGAAAACTGATTTTGATCATCCCAAACCTAAGATCCCTGGTTCGGTTCATTTCGGTAAAGGTGAACGTTTGGAGGTGTGTGAGGCCTTGGTGAGGTTTGGGATTTGTGAATGGATCAAGGGATCCGAGGTTGTTGAAGTGAGAGGGCAAAGAGTTTTGAATGGTTTGTTTGGAGTGCGCAAGCCAGCAACTCTGGCGTCTGGAGAACCAATCCTCAGGGTGATCATGAACCTAAAAGCAACCAACAGCGTCATGCATCAAATCAGAGGTGCAGTGGAGGGCCTGCCGGCCATTACGGCCTGGCAGGCTGCCGTGTTGGACAACAGTGAAAGCTTTCATTACTATCAGTCGGACATCTCATCAGCATTTTACTTGTTTGAGCTCCCAAGAGCCTGGTTGAAATTCTTGGCCTTCGCGGTGTCCTACCCAGGGGAAACACTGGGAAAAGAAGATGGCGTGATCTATCACCTGGCATGCCGAGTCCTTCCTATGGGAATGCATTCCTCTGTTAGCCTTATGCAGGAGGTGTCCGAGCAAGTCTTGTGGGCGGCCGGCCTGGACCAGCGTGCACAGATCCGAAGGGGCCTTCCCGTTCCCCGTGTTTTGATGGAGACAGCCAAACAAGCTGCTAGAGAACAGAAATATTTCTGGCAGGTCTATTTGGACAACTTCATGGGGGGAGATAGAAGGTCCATAGGTGAGGATGACCAGGTAGGCGGCTCAGTCCACAAGGTTGTTGAAGATACTTGGTCTGCAAACGGAATCATCTCGTCAGAGAAGAAAAGGGTTTCGAATGAAGTGGAAGTTGAGGAGTTGGGGGCTCTCCTGCACGGTGAGATCGGTATTGTGGGAGGAAGTCCCGCTCGCTTTTGTAAGTTGATTCAGGCGACCCTTTGTGTGCTAGGGCAGAAGTACCTAAACAAAAAGATGATCCAAATCATCGCTGGAAGGTGGATCCATGTTCTTCAGTTTAGGCGCCCCGGAATGAGCTTCCTGGATTCGATCTGGCAGTACATTGGGAAACAACACAACGAAGCGGCACTAGCTTTGAGGGCCAAGCGTGAACTGGTGAGTATCATGGGCGCAATCCCCCTCCTTCACACTTTCATGGGTGCAGAGGTTGACAATCAACTTTGGTGCAGTGATGCCTCAGAAAAGGGGGGAGCTGTTGGTGTAAGTAGAAAGCTAACCCCGGAAGGAATGGACTTCGTTATGTCTTCAAGTTTGTCGTCTCGGGTCTTGGGCTCGACACCAATACTTGTGATAGGACTTTTCTCGGGGATAGGGGGCACCTTTCGGATCTATGACGTGTTGGATGTGATCCCGCGTGGAGCAGTGGCAGTTGACATCCATCCTCCGGCAAACAGAATCGTTTCGAGAAGATGGCCGGGGGTGGAAATCTTGCGTGATGTACAATTGATCACTCGAGAAGATGTGGCGAAGTGGCGACGCACCTTCCACACGGTGGAGGAGGTGCATTTGTGGGGAGGTTTCCCATGCCGGGACTTGAGCTCTGCGCGGGCAGGGCGACTCAACCTTCAAGGGAGTGAGAGCAGTCTCTTTTTCGAGTTCGTCCGCATATGGGAATTGCTTTGTGAAGAGTTTCCCTCAGAGGTCGAAATCAAGATTGCAGCAGAGAATGTGGCCTCGATGGATGAGAGTGCCTCTAATGAGATCTCTGAGTGGCTGGAGTGTCGACCATATCATTTGGACCCCTCAGACACGGTTCCCCTGAGACGACCCCGACTTTGTTGGACCAATGCGGATATTCAAGGGTGTTTGGAGGGGGTCTCTTTTGTTGAAGAGAGGCGTTGGACTAGCATTGAGGCCAAGGCCCCATTCCCTTCGGTTTCTCAATGGTTGACCCCGGGGTTTTCATGGCCCGGTGAGAAAGTCGCTCAGTGTTTTCCCACATGTATGCGGGCGGTCTGGAAGGATTCGCCTCCAAGCAAGCCGGCAGGTATCCATAGAGCTGACCATGATTGCAGATCAAGATGGGCAGCAGCAGGTTTCGTGTATCCTCCTTACCAGTTTCGGGAAGAGTTCCTACTTTGGAAAGGCCATCATTGGCGCCTCACGAATAGTGGGGAGAGAGAACTTTTGATGGGTTATGGTTTTGGTCACACGGAACTTGCTTGGTCGGCTAGTAAGATTAAAGGTGATCCCGCAGCTTATGAACGGGAACGGTGCTCATTGGTTGGCGATGCATTTAGCATCTATTCCTTTGTCATCATCGGGGCAGGTCTTTGTCGTAACTTCATCCCCACTATCCATTACCGCCATCTTTGCCAACGGATGGGATTAGCCCCCGGGTTTCGAGCTGCTTTACGTCTTCAAGCCCCCCTCGCTCGTAAACTTCAATACGGTTGTCAAAGCGTGGCAGAGGCTGATGGAAGGTTTCAGGTGAAGGATTTCAATCTCCTCTTGTTGGGTCGAACGAACTTTACGGGAAGTGATGTTAGAGTTGTCAGTGGCAACCTGATCAACCCGAGAGCCTTCCCGCGACAACCTGTTCGCTCATCTTGGTTCGTTTGGGAGAAAGGATTTCATACTTTTTGGCCTCGTCCGCAGCACATCAATCAATTGGAGCTCAAGACGGTTCTGTTGAGCGTACTTCGGGGCATTCGTTCACAGCATTGGACCGATAAGCGGGTTTTTCATCTCAGTGATTCTTACGTTTCTATCAGTGTGATCGCAAAAGGGAGATCCAGTAGCAAGATGCTTAATCGCTTGTTGAAAATCCTCAATGCTCACCTACTCCTTCACAATGTGTATCTGATCATGGGCCACATTGAGAGTACTGAGAACCCCACCGATGCCGAGAGTCGCCGTTAGAGTCATTCAGAAGCGAACAAGAGCTGAAAGGAAGGCGGCTCGACACGGCTTGAATTTGCGTGATGCGGGTATTACCATGAAAACTCGAGCGGCCTATGTTGTGGCGCTGGGTCTCCTACTCCCGTTTATTGAGTCCATCTCCAATGAAGCTGAACTTGATATGGCCTGTGCCGAATGGGTTGAGGCCTGTTGGGAAGATGGAGAGTCGCTCTACACAGTTGGCAACGCATTGTCGGCCCTCCACTTTTTCGAGCCCATCACCAAAAGAAAAATCCCCAGTGCGTGGAAACTGTTCGCTACATGGAAAAAGATGGAGTGGCCGGCGCGTGCGCCGCCGCTTACACAGGATATCATCTTGAGCATGGCATACTATGCATTGTGCCACAATGATCTGTTCTTCAGTTGCTTGCTCGCCTTGGGCTTTTATACCCTGCTCAGGACTGGCGAACTGTTGAAACTTCGTGGCCAAGACCTTCTGGTCAATTCATCTCAGCTGGTTGTATCTTTCAAAGATACTAAGACTGGCAAGCGTAACGCTGCCGATGAAATGGTCACTACAGATGAACAGTTCGCCGTGTTGATTGCAGGTACCGTTCATGATCTTCTTAGCTCCCATAATGCACTCCATAAAAGGTTGTGGGAGTTTTCAGGCCAGGCATTTAGATCCCACTTCGACTGTTACCTTCGGAAGTTCAAACTTCAAAGCTTGGGCTTTAGGCCATATTCCATGCGCAGAGGCGGCGCTACGTGGTTAGTGCAGAAGACAGGAAGCATGGAACTGGCCCTGCTCAAGGGCCGTTGGGCGAGTCATAGAGTTGCCAGGATTTACATTGCAGATGGCATCAGTAAACTTCCGGATTTGTTGTTGCCTCCTCGGACGAAAGAACTCCTGGCAGCCTGGGATCCTCGTCGCCTTGCAGTCGACGCCAAAGGGGCCCGTGGAAAAGGCGATCCACGTTGAAATAACACTAGTTGTTCAAAACAATAAGTTG